AAAAAAAAAAAAAAAAAAAAAATGAAAGGTCATTCAATTTTTTCATGGGACAGCACATCTATTTAAAGAGATTTTAAAATGAATAACAATACGTTTTGACAAAAACTCGTAAAAATTAAATTCAACATTGATTAAAATTGAATATGGAAAATTTTTTTATTTTTCTGCACATAATTAAAATTCATTTAATATTATCATTTTGTTTCAGTAAACACAATAAGTAGCATAGGATAAATTGTTTTTATAGTTTAATGAGTTAATGATAGGAATATTAATGTTTTATAATTAAGTTTTTAAATAATTCGTTAGGTTTTTTAAATAATAAAGACTTGTTTTTTTTTTATTTCATTTTAAATTCTAGAAATAAATAATTATTTGCGAGCATGGTAGCCCCGTAAGAAATACTCCACCTATTCTACTTAGTATTAGTTGATCATTTCAGTCACAATTTTTTTATATATGACGTTATCTAATATAAAACAAATATTTAGTCCACAAAAATAACTTATTCATTCATTCGGTAGTGTATTTAGAATTGGTAGTGTCTTTTTTATTGGTAAAGCTACGCTGCTAAAAAAATTTTGATGATTTGCTCTTTTTACTTGCTATATTAGTAAATTATTTAACAAAAGAAATGTTATTTAACTTTAATTTTTATTAAATAAAACTGTTATCAAATTTGTCTAGAAGACCTGGTAAAAAAAAAGGTTATAAAGTGTCGTCAAACTCATTAAATCAGTAGACGTATCCATATTACTTGTTATTTCCTGATATAATATAAATTCTTTATTAATTAAAATTTTTTAGTATTTATTTATACAATTTTTTTAAATCCATAGATTTTAATTATTTTAATAATATTTATCTTAGAAGCGAATTTAGTTTACTCTTTTTGTAGTAAATAAGGATTAATAAAATTTCGTTGATTTTATAGTTAAAATCACATTTAAAATAATTTTATTTTTAAGTTATAATATTAAGCAAATAATAATTGTCTAATATACATTTTATTACATTGATCGTAAATAATATGATATAATTGAAATAAAGAAAATAGATGAAACATAATACGATAAAGTGCAATAATCAGCGAATACAATGGTCGCTTAGTAAATACATTCCGAAAACGAAGATTTGAGTTTTTGAACCGAATGATTCAATAAAAAAAAAATTAAAAAATATATATAACTAATTAATTAATCACTTTTTAAGAGAAATACTTCCATTTATGAAAATAATCATTAGATAAGATAGATTATATCTATCTGTTCTATATAATAAATAAGAAATTTGGAAATTGACAATTTTCCAATTATAATTCATCNCTTTACATATTATCCACAAGCATTTATACTCTTAAAACTCAATTAATAAATATATATATATGAATGACAATAATTTATCTATTTTTTTTTATGTATAATTAGATTTTAATTTATACCTTAAATTCTATGTATTTTATTTTTTTAACTTTTTGTAACTATGTTATAATATTGTTTATTTTGTAAATACCAACTAATTTCTATATTTTGTGTAACATAAGTTTGAATTTTACGCTGTGTCAGATTGGCAACCCGGATGTCGGGCAGTCCGCTTTTCTTAAATAAAGTTGTTTCTCTCTATTTGGTTAGAAGAGGAATGATTGATAATTTATCGCTATTTAGAACGATTACGTTATCAATCTTAGGTATCTATTGGTTCCTATTCTAATTTTTGTAAAAACTCAGACTTCTTCTTGCCCTGTCTATCTTTAAGTTATTTATTAGATTGAAATAATTTATTTAAATAAAATTAGTATCTCAATGATGATCATAGTGATGGAATTTCGAATATTTTAAACTATCAAATATCTATTCGATTAAAAATTTATGCAATCGAATAATTTGATAATTTCCATTATTATAAATGAACATTTCATGTGTGTATTTTAAATTTTGCTATGGAAAAACAATTAACATTTATACAGGGTGTTCAGTAAGTCAGGAAACGGGTTTCTATTGTTCTCATTGTTACAAACAATGAGAACAATAGAAACCCGTTTCCTGACTTACTGAACACCCTGTATATTTTTAATATTAAATTTTGTTAGAGATTTAAATCCTTAACCCACAAACTTTAATCTAAAATTTAAATGTAAAAAAAAATTACAGAGAAGATAATTCACACGATCTATTATAAAATTCCAAACAATTATAAAATAGAAAAAATATATTGAGACAAATCGCCTATATCCACTCATAAATGCTCAAAATCAAAATTACGTTTATAAAAAATCTACCTTTCAGCTAAAATGATACAAGATCCACAAATTCCAATAATTATTATTTGTATTATTACTGTTTTTTTTTATATAATTAAAGGTTTTTTGAAATATTTATTCTGCAGAGCTGAGCGTAAGTTTTACTGACGCTTTAGGCCAATAATAATTTAGACACTTTTTTACGTTTAAAAAAGAGATCATTCGGTATCTCTTAGCATAGTTTTATGCCTTGGGACGTTGCTTGAAAGCTCGTTGCACAATCACTGATACCAGTGACGTATTTAGGGGGGGTCCATGAAGTCTAGACCCTCATGGAGCACAGTAACGGAGGTAGCAGAGGAGTGAATATCTCCATTAAAAGCAATCCTTCATACAATATTTCTAAATACGCTACTGTCTCATGGCCTATAAAATTACAATTTTGAGACGCATAATATTAAACTTTCGATGTTCATACAAATTATATTGCTACTCGTTTACATGTAAAATATAAAGCTGAAGAAAATAATAAAATAAAGTTACCACTATTGTGTTATCTTGGTCCGTGACATAATTGACTGGATATTCTATTGTGGACTCAATATAGTCTTTAGAATACTGAACATTAGGGCTGTCGACTTGAATGACTACATTATTGCTGTAATCGTTGCAATTAGACAACATGATTTTTACTTTGGCAGTTTAAGGTAAATAAAAATGTTTAACTATTTTTAAATGATTCTTTTTTACCGAAGTATCGACTTTTTACAAACTGATAACAGCTGAAAGTGTTGCTATGCGAAATATATTCAGATTATAATCTTTTAAATTTGTTATATTAATGTATAGAAACAGTTATCATCAACCGGTATAACTTAACACATGTTGTCACAGTGCTCAACAGCAGCAACGACAGTGATATTAAAAATGTCGGTGTAGCGGTCAAAAAATTTCATCTTGTGTCTCTTTCTCGCTTGTTCCCTCTCTTCTTTAATACACCACTACCGATACAAATGGATCGATATGAAAGGTGCAACAGAATTGTGGTGACTGGTGAACCCCTACAAGTGGTCATGGTTCTCATGACGTATACAGTTAAGTTTGTTTAAATTTAAAAGGACGGTGCTAAATTTATGGTAATTATTTTTTACTTATATACATAATTGTTATTATTAGTTAAAAACTTAAAGAAATGTTTAATATCATTTATTTTAAAATTAATCGCAGAGAAATAATTTTATCTAAGGAGAAGCCTACTAAATTTCATCAATATACACATTTAAAGAAAAATTTATATGAAAATAGTAACTCAAATTGTTGTTACTCAGTGTAAATATAATCAAATAACTTTTAAATATTTTAAAGAAAATATTTTCATATTTTTAAAAATCAATAAAAAATAATCCATCAATTCATTTTATTTATGCATCATTTTCATTATAATAAACATTTCATATTTTACAAATACATAATAGTAATAATGAAATAATTTTATTCATATTGAACTTTTGTAAGAATTAAATTTATAGAGTTTATATAATTATTTAAATATTACTTGAATTTAAATCATTATGTTCAGATTTAGAGTTTAATAATTCAAGCTTTGGTATAAATGTACTCTTCCTCGTAAATGATTTCACAATTTCTCTTTATCGTTATGTACATTATATATAATAAACTCTTAATTACGCTCGGATTAAAGGAGGTCCAAGGAGAATAATACCACTGGAAATAAACGCAATTTGAAGACATATTCTGTTTTGAACAACCTAAATGTAGAAACACAGTAAATAATTTTTAGTAATTTTTTTTTTGAAATTTTATTAACTAGCTAGAGTCTTATTAATGAGTGATACTATTTGAAATGTGATTTATTGTTTTATTCTTATTTATTTATTTATTATTTAAAAATATATTTATCATGTAATAATTACATAATTATGATATAACATCACAATGATGTTCTAACTTTTTACAATTAATTAAATATGACTCTCAAATAATACATGTTAATCTAAATTATTGACAGTATAAAAATGATCGACATTCATTTGACAAATTTCTTCTGTATTTTAAAAGTAGTTTATTTTTATAAAGAGCTTTTAGCTAATAAACTACGTTAACAGTATTTAATCAAAGTCTGGTTGAAATTACGTTTTATTGATTACTACTTTAATATTTTTTAAAAGCCCAAGGATCTATTTTGTCATTAATTAAAAATTAAGGTTTTTTTAAGTTGCAAAATTTTTTAGCTTCGATGCGAAGTTGAGAAGGTATTAATTTTATTATAATGTGTTTTTTTTTATTTAAAAAAAAAAAAATTTTTGTGTCTATGAACTCTCAATCTCAGCTTTCGCTGGATTGATTTTGATGAACAATACGTCAAAAGATCATATCTAGTCGAAGACATTACTCTCAAATATTGAAAAAAATTCCCTCGTTCCCCGTAAACAGGGAAATCCCCCAAAAATTACAAATTTAAAAATCGCTAATTTTCGACATTTTTTCAATTTTTTTTACTTAAAACTGCCATAACTTTTTTAAAAATGGCCGAATCAATATAATTTTTTTGATAGACACCTTAGGTATTTACCTATCATTTGATATATTTTTGTGAACATTTGACCCTTTACCAGCCACAGGAAGAGATTCAAAATGGCAAATTTTTTAACTTAACTTTTGAAAATGTTCTGGAAAGATTGACACTTTTACATATACCTTAAATTAAATCTTATGTATTATATTTTATTATGAAAACAAAAATTTGACCTCTGGACTATTCTTCATAGTAAAAACGGACATCAAAGTTAAAGAAAAACGTACGATTTCCGTAAAAATATTTTCGATTTTATTTTTAATTTATATTGCTAAAACTTTTGGAAAAATGTATGGATCAATATTATTATTTTTTTTATAAATAATTTTTATATACCTCTCTCATTTGCCACACTTTTTGTAAATTCGATCATACCCCTTTATACAAGGGGTGTCAAAACTTTAAACATGCGTATTGAAACTAGGACATTTTCAATTTAATTTTTGAAAGTGTTCCGGAAATCTGACACTTTTATATATATATCTTAAATTAAAGCTTATGTAATATACTTTAATTTCAAAAAAAAAAATTTGACCTCTGGATTTGTCTTCATGGTAAAAATGACTGCCGTATTCAAAAATATGCTATTTTTGTGTTAAAATTCTGAGTTTTGAATTTTATTTTAAAATACTTGACAAGAGGAGTACACTGATTTTCATAAATAGTATATATATCAAATTAATATAGCATAGAATGTTAAATTTATTTAAATTTTTTTGTTTATTTTAAATCGAGAAAAATAACTTAGACATTCAAACTAACTTTTAAATTGTCATTTTTTCAGTCGACGGAAGCGACGAACGATTGCCAAATCGGTAAAATTTGTGTTTTACGCGTTTGGAGTTCCAACCTAGGAACTAGGCAAGGCAATTTTTTGCATTTTTTTCTTAATTCTTTTTAAGTTAGAATAAATTTTCAACTCATTTGATTTTAATCTCATTTAGATTCAATACTTTAATAATGATCAAGGATCCTATCACTGTAGTCGCCCCTTGTAAGAAGAAATTTCTTATTCATATTAAAATTTTTTTACTATATTTTAGGTTTTAGCTTCGATGCAAAGGTGAGAAGGTTTTTTTTTTGTGACTATCATTTATTTTTTCTGCTCTAACTTGATCTACTTTTTTCAACGATACGTCAAATGTTTACAATTCGTATCTAGTTGAATATATTACCCTTAAAAATTGTCAAAGTCCAGTGTATAAAACTTATAACTTTGTTAACTGCTATAACTATTTATCAAAAATGACCGAATCAATATAATTTTTTTTTTCGGATTTTATATTGACTTCACGGTGAAAATGGCTACCGAATGCTATTTTAAATTCTCGATTTTTTTTTTTACATTTATAACTTTATAATGCTATAATTTATTGAAAAGTGTATGGATCAACACAATTTTTTTATAAGAAATAATATTTACATCCCTTTTTCATTCGTCATACTTTATCTTAATATAGGATATAAATAAGGAAAAGCAGATCATGTAGCTTTTGGAATAATCCACCAATTTTTTAAAATTAAACACTATTTAAAGATTTGTATTGAAGCGTTTTTTTTATAGTGATTTTAATCACTGTTAGATATCATTATACTTAATCCAACTATTGCACGTCACCACTGTTTTGTGACCCCTGTGCTGGGTTTTTTTTTATATAGATGCATATAGATGTCTTTACCTATTATTTGGTATTTTAGAAATGATTACTATGATTTCTATTTAAGTGATTTTATCGTAATAGAATTACGATAAAAATGCAAAATAATATTGAGCTTTTCTGATAAATTTACAATTTAATGATGTCAATTTTAAACTTGCAAATTGAGCTAAAAGTTATGGTAATAAATAAATATTTTTTGACTATAAACTTTCACAAAAATCAACTTTAAAGGATTAATAAAATAGGTTAAATATGCCATTTACCTTATTTTTAATATATTGATAATCAAAACACAGTATTAATTTAAAACAATTTTTTTTTGTTCTTAATTATTTTTTTATATGTAAATACTTATTTTTAATAATATTATTAATATTAAAACTTAGAAGTGATAGAAAATATCTAATTGCGCATTTGAAAACATCACGGAAAGTTGATTTAGAAAAGTATATTTTTGTTTCTGATGAAAGTTTCTTGTAGTCCAGTGTATAAAACGTATAACTTTGTTATAAGTAACAAACATTTTTTATTGAAAAGTATTGTATCAAGCCTTTAAAATTGTTATACGCGTTAAAAGTAAAGAAATATACAACTACTTTATTATTTTTATAATATCTCCGTAAAAATTACAATATTAAATTATTGAGTATAAATTTCATACTAAATTTAATTACTATTTATTTATAATTATAATATAATATATTATAATTATAAATCAAATAACTAATCGGTATAAAATCAAGAAATGAGTTATTGTTACTTTTGAAATAATCTACCAATTTCTTAAAAGTAAACACTATTTACAGATTTGCATCGATGCGTTTCTTATGATAGTGATTTTAATCACTGTCAGATATGATCTATACTTGTCCCAACTATGACATGTCCATATTGTGCTACAGTTTTTTATACATGTCAAAAAAAATTTTTTTTAATACTATAAATGATATTTCTATTTATTATATTTACGTTCTTTAATAATTAATTGAAATTAATTTATAACCTTATTTGAGGTATACCCTATCCCGCCTCACTAGTTATAACGGAGGTGGAAGCAAATTTTATGTTGCCCGTGGCGGGGCACATTTTATAAATATGGACCTGTTAATGCGTATTTGTGAATGCATAGTTACATTTAATAAACTATCTTCCTAATAAAATTTTGGGAAGGTTCTTAATATAAAAATCTATCTGTTTCTTTCAGTCAGGATTTGAACTTGAAAAAAATCAAGAAATTACTAAAGAAACAATAATGTATCATAACATTAAATTGTTAGGTAATTAATAATCAGTTAGGAAGGGTAATGTTATTGTGGCTAGGTGTGGCAATATATTTATAAAACGAAAGTTGCGTGTCCAGTAATTTTATTAGATTGGAAACAAAAATTAAAAGCTATAATGGGGTGTGGTTCTAGTTGTTTTTCCCGCCACTATAATATGTAATTCTTTNTGTGGTTTTTTTTTTTTTCCCCGCCACTATAATATGTAATTCTTTAGTACGATATTGCATCGCATTCGGAAAAAATGTCGACACAAAATAATCTCAGACATTGTTTGCCATTTAAATATGTAAGAAATAATTTTAATTTAATCTATTAATAATTAAATCTATTCACAGCATTTTTAAATCGAAATTAGTTAAAATAGAAGTAATTACATTTTTTTATTGTATGAACACTAAATCATTAAACTTAATGTAGATAACTTAATTTATATGTAAATATATACATTATTTTTTTAACAACAAATTTAGCTGATTATAATTTTTTTTTTAAACAAATGTTCCATGTGATATCAGTAATTAAAAATAAATAACAATCGATAAAAATATATAATGCATTTAATGAATGATAAATTATTTTACCCGGGTTCTGTTTAGTTATTTAAGAGATAAAATTAAAAAATTAATTTTATAAAAATACGTAATATATTTTCGAATAATCATATTGTAATCATCTCAACAATATGTGTTCATTTGAACATTAATAATTTTTACAGTAAAAAATTAATACTATAATAAATAAAAATAAATAGTATGAAACATATAATTACTCCCTATTCTTTTCTTAATATGGGACATAGTTTGATATTATAAAATAATTGAAAAATAATCATTAAAAAGTTAAAGAAAAATAATGAATAAATTAAAATAAGAATTTTTGGTATCAAAATTTTTTATTTTTTAATATTTTACTAATAATGAGTTTAGAATGCAATCCAAATATGGGAAAATTGATTAAAAAGAAATATAAAATATTATGTAGATCATAAATCATTAATGTTATCTGTTAAATGAACATACATTTTGTTATTTAAGAATCAAAAAGTAAATTTATTTAAGCTTTTAAAAGAGAAAATTCATTTAATAACGCTTTTCTTTTAAATATATTATTGAGCTGTTTAACTGCGACATTATCTCTCAAAATTTTCAATTAAAAAATAAAAAAACTTTAGCTTAATGGTTCTTAAATGATTATTAATGATGTTAATTAAATCAATGTATAACTGCTGGAGTTAGAATGGTACACACGGGAATGGAATTCCTAACATAAATTATAAATAATTTTGAGTTCTCAAACTATGCCCTTAAAATACGTGTATATTTTTTATTATGTATTATGTACTGGTCTATTACTAAAATGTGTAACCTACCTAATGTTTAAAAATAAATTTATAATGTAATTTTTTTTACAAAGATCATTCATAAATGTGAAATAATGAAATATGACATGAAAGAATGGAAACAAAGTCATAAGCTTTTCATTTAAATTATTTATTTATCGTTTATATCTAATATGGAGCACACTTTTATTTACAGTTATATAAATATTAACATCATGATTATACTATGAATGAACTTTTATACTTCACTTTTCTATTTCAAGTCCTAAGACTAATCATAAATTATTATTTATGTATTTATATATATATAAATATCAATATATACAGTAATCAAATATAGATAATAATTATACAAATATAATAACATGCATTGTTACATAATTTTAATTAAAGCCATTTCCAACAAGTCCTGTTTTTACAACAACTACCACACCAGATCCTTTGGACATATTAAGTGTAGATGATGAATGGTTGGAATTTCAATTGTACAATGGATATCGAGTGTGGCACATTATTTTTTTCATTTTGACTGTATTTTTTTCGCTAAGTAATCATCAGCTTATAACTATTTAACTAAAATTATTTTATAAATATGTATATACTTATTTTTAGTGGTATTATTATGTTGCTGTGTTCGTTTCCGAATTCCACGAACAAAACAAGAAATTGAAGCTGATTTTATGCGACGCAAAATTGCAACAAAATTTTGCAAACAATTACGGTTGTTGAATGATACGGAAATGGACGACATGGACCTTTTAAAAGGTATTAAAGTGATTAATGAATAACTTTATAACTTACACCGCAACCACAATGATTGAAATTATGTAGCACTTAAAAGACTACAGGCTGAACTTGAGACTGATGACGATATTATAGAAGACAATTCCGAAGTTTCGACAAAAACAACTACTCCAAAATCACCAAGTTTGAAGAGATCTGCCAAATCGTCGGGTTTTAGTAAAGTTCTAACACAATTATTTTTAATTTATAGAATAAATATAAAGTATTTTCTTTTTAGATTCGTCAGAAAAATTGCCTGAAGAACCAGAAAATATGTTAGGCAGAAGATTAGCCACTATTGTAAATATTTTAAGTATAATAAAACCAAAACGTAAACAGACAACAAACGTTACCAAACAAACGTCAATGACAGTTTAATTTATCTTCCAATCAATGATCTCAAAATCATATAAAATCAGTAGAAGCGAATATTTAAAAATCGTATGGTACCTAAAATATACTTTAAGCCTTGCAAAAATTATAATAACAAATATGTTTTAGATAATGAAGTATTATGTAGAGAAAAGAATTTGACTGTTTATACTGATGTATAAAGTTAATAAATGTATTTAAGACTAAATTAATAAAAATTGTGTTAGTTTTTTTAGTTAATATTAACCCTTGAATAAATCCTTTAATAAAACCATTGGAATTTTGAAAGTATATATTCTAGAATACAAAAATTAACTTACAATTACTTAAAATTAAAAAAAAATTACTTACAATCAATATGATGAGATGTATCATATAAATTACAATGCCAAAAATACAGAATTGCATTTTTGAATTTTTTTATAAAATTTCACTAATATTGAAAAAAAATTAATTATTTTTTAGTCATTTTAACATTACTTGATGTGTACATTAAAAATTAAATTATTTTATGACCAGATTAGAATTTAAATCACTAGGATATTTTTACAAATAAACTTTAAATAGAAAGAATATATTAAAATATTTTAAAGATATTAAAAAAATGTATAATTGTATAAATGCAGTTAAATACATTTAGTTTAACCTAATTAAATTTTTTTTATTCTTATTTTGAAGCTGATAGATCTTGGGGTATACCTTTTGGAATACACTAACAATTTAGGGTACTTGGCAATATGCATTATTAGATACATGCTCTATAGGAAAAACAATGATATCGCCAACATTTACTTAATTAAAAATTTGGTAATATTCTGTATTCTAAAAGATACTGTATCAAGTTTAGAGTCCAAATTAAGGCCATTCATCTTTATAACAAATTAAATCATAAAATTAAAACTCCATCATTTAAAAGTTTTTTACTGTAATTTTTTTTTTACTTAAGATTAATCCTTAAAAAGTTTAATTCAAAAATATCTTATAAAAAAAAAAAAAAAATACTTTAGTACATTTTACTGATGCCCTATGTTTTTATTTAACAAAAATAAAAATACATTTTTCAATGATATAATTTATTACAAGTAGTAGAATTCTGAATAAATGAACTAGATGTATTAAAATAAATATTTAAACCAATGTATTTTTTTATCTAGTGACTAATTTAGTATTATTTATATAAATACGTCTAAACATCTATCACTTTTTGTAAAAATCCAATAAAATTATTTAAATACTAGGTAATAAATTTTAATTCAAATTTAGGTATACTCTACATAACTATCATGAAAATAAATTTCACACAAAATTTTTTTTTATTGAAACTGTATACAATTAAATGTTAGTATAGTTTTATTTTAACACATTGTAGTATTGCTACAAGTTATTATTTTTAAGACCATAAAGTATCAGAAGATTTTTAAATCATATAACTAGTAATTATACAACTAATTGCATCATCACAGACATACCTATTTCTTTATTTTAACATATAATCATAACATTTTAATGTTGGGACCATTTGATTGATTTGATATCTATACCTTCTTGATACATCTCCCACAAAGGACTAAAAAAAAGATAAACTTTAAGAATCCTTTAAAAAAGATAACTGAAATGTTAATTACCTCATTTCTCGTAATCTTTGAACATGTTTTATACACCTCTCAATTGTATACTCAACTTCATCAACTGTTGTAAAACGACCAAAACCAAATCTATAAACAAATATTATTTTATTTAACTGTAAATTTTTAAACACTTTTAATGTATACCTTATAGAAGAATGTGCCAAATCTTCATCAGCCCCAATAGCTCTTAAAACATATGATGGTTCTAATGATGCTGAAGTGCATGCACTCCCACTAGATAAGGCTATGTCTTTTAGAGCCATTAGTAAAGATTCTCCTTCAACAAAGGCAAATGACAAATTTACACAACCTGGATATGTATGTACTGGATCACCATTTTGAACTACCTCCGGCAGATTTTTAGTAATTTTTTCAATAAGTAGATTAGACAATTTTTTCATCCACACATGATCATACTGTTAAATAGTAAATAAAAAAAAATGAATAAGGAATAAAAATCATAATTATGTAATATATACCTCCATTTCGTTTTTAGCTATTCGGCAAGCTTCGCCAAAACCTACAACCAATGGTGTTGGTACAGTTCCACTGCGTAGTCCACGTTCTTGACCCCCTCCACTTTGAATAGGTTCCAAGCGTACCCTAGGTTTCCGGCGTACAAATAGCGCTCCAATTCCTACACATTAAATATTTTCACATATTTATTAAGTAAATAAAATTTAAGCTTCACCTTTTGGTCCATATATTTTATGTCCACTAAGAGACATAAGATCTATATTCTGATCATTAACATCAATATGTATCTTGCCTAATGCTTGGGCTGCATCAGTGTGAAAAAATACTTTTTTTTTTTTACACAAGTGGCCTATAATAATTTTTTTTAGTAAAATTAATGAGAAATAATTAGAATAACACATTTAAAAATAAAACAAATACCAATTTCTTTAATAGGTTGTTTCACTCCTATTTCATTGTTTACTGTCATAATTGATACTAAAGAAGTATCAGGACGTATAGCAGACTCCAATTCTTCTAATGAAATTATACCTGTAGAACATACTGGCAAATAAGTTACTTCAAAACCCTCTCCTTCTAACACACGACAAGAATCTAATACACATTTGTGTTCCTGTTTATGAAAAAATGAATTAATGATTGAACAGTTATTAAGTTAATAATTATATACAGTTTGAGTTGTAATAATATGACGTTTTTTAGATGCATAGAATCGAGCAATGCCTTTGACAGCAATATTATTTGATTCAGTTGCTCCAGAAGTAAAAATTATCTCCTTGGGGTTAGCTCCAATTAAATCTGATACTTGCTAAACAAAAATTAAAAAGTCTACATTATTTTTTCTATATTATTTTTATAATAATTGTACTTGTCTAGCATTTTCAACTGCTTCTTCACTTTCCCAGCCATAAATATGCGTACGCGAGTGTGGGTTGCCGTAATTTTGTAACAAATATGGCATCATTGAATCTAATACTCTTGGATCCTAATAAATAAAATATAATTATAACATTGGTTCAATGATTACATATAAAATAATAATTACTAGAGGAGTAGTTGCTTGAGCATCTAAATAAAGAGGTTTTCCTTTCATTAACCCCATTCGTGATGCAATTTTTGACTCTAAAATAAAATAAAATAAAATAGAATGAATTTAATGTTTCTAATAAGTTAATAAATAATACAATTATTGAATATTTTGAATTATATTACTTCACTTATTAATTACCAATTGAAAAAAAATTAATTAAAACATATAAAATAGAGTAAAAATTATTTTTATAGAAAATTGAACTTATTGACAATAATATAAATACAATTAAACACATAGAATACATAAATAATAAGTGTTCATTGAACAAATAATAACAAAACTTACCTTGTTTAGAAGTTTGACAAAAATATCGAGCGAATTTGATCATGTTTTGAGAATTAACGTTTCGTCCGACCATTTTTTAATAAAAAAACAATGTGTAAGTTAATAACTATACTAGATATTAATAACAATTATTAATAAAAAATTGATTTACTCTATAATCATTTTCGCCATCAATTGCAATAGAGAATAAGTTTAAAACGGATATGAGCCGATGATAAGAGTTATCAATTTATTTGTTATCAAAATAATATTAGGTTTATACAATTAATTCTCAATACCAACATTGCTTCATATTAGAGATGGGATTTTTGACTCACTGATATGAATCAGTTCACTCAAATGAGTTGACTCAGTGAGTCAACTCCAAATCCCAACTCTCTAATCGTCGAATCTTTAAAGGCGCGATTCTGACTCGTGAGTGGAGATGTTTTTGGAATGCGAATTACAACTCGAAACTCGCAAAGCATACTCATAGAGTGCCTTCTAAATGCGCCTTAATAGTTATCTTAGCTAGATTAATATCAAATATGAAATATCAATGAATTATTGTTTTACAATAATGAATAATAATTTATTTTACTCATTGTAAATAATTATTATTTATTAACTACTATTGTAATTTGAAATGTAATATTACTATTAATAATTTTTTATTCATTATTTGATTATATATATTGGAATTAAATTAAAGCGTGAAAGAAATCAAATTCAAAACGTATGTACATTATGGAAAAAGTAGTTGGTTATTACTAATTATATAATTTTATGAGATAATGGGCCTCAAACCCTGATTTTTACCTATAAGATGGTTGAGCTAATTTTAAGTTAAAACTTCTAATCATTCAATAGTTTGATTCCTTTTTCCTTCTGTTAAAATTTTAGATTCTCAATACATACCCACAATAGTTATACAAAAAGTAATTTATTTGGTTATTTGATATTTATAAAATATTTTTCTATTAAATTGTTTAATATTTTTACTAATTATATTTAAATTTGTTAATTATTGTCCTTTATCTTTATAATAGTTGATTGCAATAATTCTGCTGTCATATTATCAATCCCAGGAGCTTTATTTTGTTTTAAGTCATAAAGAACTAGCTCAAATTCTGATCTTAAAATGGGTAGCCTCGTTTCTTCCTCATTTGTTGTAATTTCCTCCATTTTTTCTCCCTCATAAAGCTCTTCAATATACTCTTTCCGTCGTTTTAAGACCAATTTTATAACATTCACACATGACAATTTAAACTCAATATTTGATTTTGATTAGTTCTTTTTTTTTTTTTGGAAAATCACTTATTATCTCCAGTAACTTACCAAATGTTAAAAATAAATATAGGAAATTGTATATTTTAAGCAATATTTAAAGTACAACAAATCTTTTTTTTTCCATCTGTTAAAAATATGTTTTTTTTACATCTATGTATATTTATTATAATAAATATGTTAATCAAAATAATCTTTATTTAATAACAATATATTGATCACAAATTAGCAATAAGAGAGAATATTGTTTAATAAATTAATTCTTAAGTTTTATCTTTATAACATATAATTTTTATTGATAATTTAAAGTACTCATAAATTAAATTCAAAACTGAATAAATAATACAAACTGCTTATTTTATACTGTTATATCATATATAATAATAGTAAAAATAATAAGAATCTATTTGTAACTGCATACAGTTCTTTAAATCAAAATGATCATCCATTAAACAATAATAGCACCTGTAGATAAAAAAAAACATTTATTTGATTATTTTTATTGTTAAACCATTTTATATTACCTTTGGACATAAGGGTTTCCAATTATTGCTACTTCATAGGCCCATTTGGGCTCTGAATCATCAACAACAAACTTCACTTTTTGTGGATATCTAAAATGTCAAGTTAATAAGTATATCGAAAATTAATATTTTTAAATAGATATTGTTGGTAATATTATTTTCCAAAATACATTTTTCAGTCGCATTCCTCCTCTTGACTATGTATAAAAGTGTAAGAACATGCGAAATAATGGTCCAAAAATTGTAATTGATCAGTCATTTTCATATTTATTTAACTATTTAACAAAAAACAAATTAAATATGTATGTTCCAATTTAAATAAAATTAGTCAACTAGGTACGTTTATAAAGAACAAATGATAGACCTCAAAATAAATACTAATACTTATAAATTAAAAACTAAATACTACTAAAATAAGATAAAAAAAAAATTCTTAAAATTAAAATATATTACATTAGCATTAATTTAAGATATATATAAAAGTGTCAGACTTCCCGGAACACTTTCAAAAGTTAAGTTGAAAATGTTAATTTTTTCTGAAACAGTTGTCATTTTAAATCCCCCCCTGTGGGCAGGTAATGGGTCAAAATTATGAAAAAAGTATATCAAATGAAAGGTAACAATATCTTACATCTATATAATAAAAATGATTTAAATTCGTTCATTTTTGAAAAAGTTATGGCAATTTTAAGTAAAAAAAAATTGAAAAAATTTCGAAAATTAGCGATTTTTATATTTGTAATTTTTTTGAAGGTTTCCCCCATTTACGGGGAACGAGGGAATTTTGTTCAATTTATGAGGTTAATGTCTTCGACTAGATACGATTTGTGATCTTTTTATGTATCGTTGAAAAAAATCGGTTTGGTGACAGCTGAGTAAAAGTAGTAACAGACACAAAAAAAAAAGAACACATCATAGTAAAACCAATACCTTCTCAGCTTCGCATCGAAGCTAAAACATTTTAATCACTGCTTTTGAAATTTAGATTTTGCTGATAAAAAATTTCTGAGATTCTTCCCGCCCAAAAAATACTTTAGATAACGAAATAACTTTCTTAACTGCTAGGTGGTGTAAGCCCCTTCTAGTCCCCCATGTTTCGTCTATACTTATGCGCCTATATGACGATTTAATTAAAAACAATTCATACATGTTAATTAGTCGTTCAATGAATAAAAAAACAAAAAAAATTTTCATTCATTTTAATGGACAGGGTTAACTTAACGTAATATTATGCGATTCATTTTTTCTAAAAAAAAGTATACTATTTAAATATATACTATTTTTTTTACTTTTGATATTTATAGAGATAATTGGCAAAAATGTAAAAACGGGTGATTTTCAGAAATTATTACTTTTACCTAGTTTTATTAGTTTTTATAAGAAAACTTTAATTTAACGTAAGATGAAACTGTCGAGTACGCTACCAATAAACTTATGTTGATAAAAAATCACCGTACGCAATTTTAATTAAAAAATTATTCAATAGGAAATTGTTACGAGGTAACTGGATTCAAGGCATAATATATGCATAGTAACAATTCCAAAAAAATTTTTGGAATTGAAAGTAAAATAAAATATACTTAACTTTCCCTTCTCTAAAATTTATTTTTATATAATTATACATATAGTTTTCTTAAAATTTTAAAAAGATTAACTATAATATAAAATTTGGGGGACTAAAAGGCTTGAAGGGGCTAAGCTTCTTCAAGCTCCCCAAGTTACGTTTAATTTTACTTACGAGTAAAATTTAATTAAGCAGGTTTTTCAGTATAAAATTATATACCACTTAAAATTTTAAATCCAGAGTTAGACTCAATTGTATTTTACTGTTAAGTGCCTTTTTAACAAAAAATATTGTTGATCCTTAAGTTAAAGAAGGTAGGTATTTCATGAAAACTTTATCATTTATTTTTCATTATATATTTTGTTATATTTCGTTTGCAACATTTTACATCTAATGAAATGAGTTATAAAATAACACAACTATTTCAATAATTCAATAATTATTTATTAAGTAACAATTATTACTAAAAATAAAAGTTAAAACAATAACCAAGAAATATTTAATAACTACAAACTATGATGGTGGTATCATAAGTAATTCGTTTTCATTAACTCTTGATTTGAACCTAAGAAGATCACTATCAATATCAATTGATTGTAAGTCTTTATCAAATGATGAAGGCGACTGAAAAGAATTGTAAGAGCAAATGCTGTTCCAATCTGCTTGTGGAGATATTAAACCCGAAGATGTCTCGAAAATTTGATTGTCTGTAAAAGAGGTAACAATCATTAAAGTTAATTTATAGTATAATAAATGTATTTAAATTTAATAATATATAAAAATAGTGACCAATCCATGGAGCTACAGGTGGCGTTATTCTCCGAAAGTTATGAAAAATACATGTATTTTTAAATAGAAATTTTATTAAGGAAATCAGAAATTAAATTATACTTCACAAATTTTTACATAAAAAGCGACAATGTTGAACTTGCGCTAATGATTATATTTTTTATAATTTCACCCTTTACCTGCCCACAAAAGATATTTAAAATGGCAACTTGTGCAAAAAAGTTGCAATTTTAAACATGCGTATAGAAACTAGACTTTTTCAACTTAATTTTCGAAAGTGTTCCGAAATACTGACATTTTTATATATCTTATCTATATCTATATCTTATATATATCTTAAATTAACGTTTATGAAATATTTAATTTCAAAAAATAAATTGACCTCTAGACTTGTCTTTGTGATGAAAATGACTACCATGTTAAAAAATATACTGTTTTTGTGTTAAAATTCTCGATTTTATATTTTTAACTTAAAATTGCTATAACTTTATGAAAAACTTATGGATCAATACAATTTTTTTTTATAAAAAATTTTTATATTTCATCCGAAATACGTTTTTTTTTTAATTTTTCAATTTATCTGAGTTTTTGATATACACAACCAATATTGTAAGATTAAGTCATATATAAAAATAGTAAAAAAAAAACTATAATTTATAATCTAAGAATAACTCTTTTAATAAGAATCATACCTGTTTACTATACTATTTAAATTAAATAATGTCTTAAAATTAAAACAATTGTATATACAAACTTAAGTTAGTTTTAATAATGTGTTTTTAAAAGGTGAAATAAATTATATATAAGGTGAATTCCGCAAAAATATATTAAATATATCAAATGACACTCAGCTCATACAAATTTAATTACCGAGTGAAAAAATTGAATACATAGTACAATAAGTTTAATAATATCATAATTCAAAATTTCAATTAGAATCGTTTGAAAATTGTGGTACGTTTTCTCAAATAAAACATTTTATACAAATTTTACGTATTTCTTTTTTTGTATAATTAGAATATATCTGTCAATCTTTCTTTAGATAAATAAAATTTATAGTGGAAGTTAAATACACTAAAATAATATTACTTTTATTCAAAATGTTAATTTGCATAGCTATTTCTCTTTGTGTGACAGTAAATTATAATAAATTTGTCAATGCTATAATTACCGAAAATTTTAAATTAGATGATGTAGATTTAGAAGATACATACAAAATGTTAAAAACATTTGATACTGGATACGACATATCCATGGCCTCATATAATAACAGACGCCATCAAAATATAAGGGAAGATTTAATAAACTTTTTTGAGAATGATATAATATGTTTTTATATGTTTATAGCAACTCACCATCAATGTTTGACAAAAAAACTTTTATTAACAGAGTTTTACGAAAAGAAATGTCTATTATTTTCTTTTTTGAATCAAGCCAAGACCATGTTATTATCAACATATTTTTTTACTGATGGTTCCATTAAATATATGGAACCGTTTTGGTTGATATACACTTATGAATTGTTTTTGAAAATGGTAATAAATAAAGTACTTTCATTTAACCCCAGTATGATAGAATCCTTTCATGATAGAATAATTGCGACTTGTGCAAAATTTATAAATAGATCATTAGGATGTAAATCTCGAAATATGTATAACGGGCAATATGAAAAATCTAAATATTACAAAGAGTTGATGTCACATGAAAATGTATCTAATTCTAGACAATCTGTCTATTCAAACAAATTCTTAATTGATTCAGTTATTGATTGTAATGATATTTTTGAACAGATCCATACTTTTTATGCAGAAAAAGTTTCATATGATAGCCTTACCCTAAAAATACTGGTGGAAGAACCTGATTTAATAAAGACAATTTTGTATACATTTTTTGAAAAAACTTCAGTATCAGATATAAACACAATTGAAATACATTATAAGAATATAGAACAACAAAATCAACCAGACATGTGGATCAAGACTCTTGGAAGTTTTTGGCAAAATTTTATAAATTTATTGATGTATACTATGGTGCGATTTGTTAGTAGATATATGTTTAACATAAATCGAACTTTTATGGATAGAGGAATTGTTTATAATTTATCAACGTATGGTATTATTAGAACATATGATCAATTTATGTTAAAAAGACTAGAAGAGTTTAAAAACCTTCTTTATTTAGATAATGATAAAGTTTTTCAAAATATTATCGATAAACTAAAATTATTGGAAAAAAAAAAGTTTTCATTTGATAAAAGAGAACATTTTTATAATACATTAATCAATACATTAAAATCTGTTCCACCGTTATTCGATAATATAAATATAGACACTAATTTTGAAGACCTCGATAAAGAAAATGAACTAGTAAAAAATACGTGTGTATTAGCTAAAGAAACTAACATGATAATAGAAATTGAGAGTGATATTACTGATCCGTTAGTTAAAAACAATATTATTTTCATAAGTATTTTTATTAATTTCGTAAGTAGGTTACTGGATAAAGTCAATATGAAGATTATCCAATCATTTTTATTCTTCACTAAAAATTTAAATAATATAATTTAAATAATAATGCTAAAATTTATACCATACAAAAATAAAACTGTAATCGTTTTTATTATACATATATTATTGTTTGTATTTAGTTTATATACAATTATAATATTATATTTAAATGTTTTAACTGCGGAAAGGTATATTATACTATGCGCATGTAAATTAAAAATATATATTATACTTATTATCGAATAATACCTAAAAAACACTAGAATTTTATATTTTTTGTTAGCATGAATATTCTATTAGGTATTCCAATAATAGTATTCACTTAATTAGGATAAAATAATAATAAAATTATTATAAATTAATTATTTAATAATTAAAAAAACATTAGTCAAATATATTTCTTTTTTTAACTTCGTGTCACTAATTTTTTATAGATTTTCTAAAAAGTTTATAATATTCACGGTATAATATATTTTTGGTTAAATTTAATGTAATATTTTTCAAAAAAAACTAGTATAATTGCTTAATAATTTTAAGTGTAATTTTCCTAATATTTTAATGATTTATTTTGTTTTGTTTGATCAGGATGATCAATAAAATAAAATTCTATTAATATAACATACAGTTTTAATAGTTCTATTGTCAAATATTATAAATCATTGGAGTTTTCTTCTACTCTGTATTTTAAATATACTGTATACCAACATAGGTTCTTTTTTTGTATCTTCCTGAAATATGATTAATACGACCTGTTCGTGTCATTTATAAATTAAAAGACGTCGTGTATTATTGTGTATAGACTTTACCTCTGCTTACAACTCTTGGAGTTGTAGTATAGTAGGAAAAGAATATACAAAAAACAGAAAGAATACAGGAGAATCCGGTGGTAGAAATTAAAAGAGGAAAATAAAAAAAGAGTTTTTAAAGGCGGTAAGGAATGTCGAGGGAGACATAAATGATGTGTGAAATAGATATACTAGTTGTGTAAAAAATACTGCAAAGGAAATTATTTGTGAGAGTAGGAGTAGATTGCCAGGAAACAAGGAAACATGATGGTGAGATGAGAACGTTAAAAAAATCAGAGAAAGTAAGAAAAAGCAATTCAAAGGAGAGAAGATTGGATTTATATTTTAATTTTTGTCTTAAACATAACTCTAAAAACCGTAACTGTATAACTCAAAGTTTTTTGACGTATGAAGAAATAATGTTCAAAATATAGTTTATATTACAAGACGATGAAAATAGTTTTCATACAAATGGCTCCCTTAATAATCAATTTATTTATAAACATCTTTGTATAATTGATTATTATACCAATGAGTATAATGAGATGTTTGTAACGGCTTCTATAACTAATACTATAAATTGTTATTATATATTTGTAAAGCTTTTAGTTTTTTTATTTTAGTAATAGGACGATCCTTTTAACACCAACCAACAGATATATCTTAATTAAAATAATAATTATGTTAACTTTAAAATTAACACCTTCTTAGATCCTTGAATAATTAATTTTTTTAATACCCTCCAAAGCACTAGTGCGTATTCTAATTTCCTATTTCATTTTCGAGTTCCCGTTAGGACTGATATGTAACATAAAATAATTTACCAACATTACGATAAATATAATAAAAAATAAAAAAATACATTAATTTATATTCTTTTGAATAAAGGTTGTCAAACAGCGCTGTCCAACGGACATTCTTGCAACTGTCAAACAATGCTAAAGNTGTATTTTCTAATTATTACATAATGCAACTAAAACTCCTAACCCTCCCAGTTGCTCCTTCCAACTTCCAAACTATTACTCGAATATTTTTACTGACACTTCTAAGTTCTTACATAAATTAAATTTCATAGTCATATAATCGATATGTGTATTATTAGATACTGTTATATTTTTTATAAATAAACAATAAACTTTATGCAGTAATAAAATAATCTTACAATCATTGTTTTCAAATCGTTAAAACATAAATGAAATAAACGTGAATAGGTACATGTTAGTACTATCTTAATTCATTATAGGTAATATATTAAATACTAGATTGGTTGGTAAACGGTTTATTACGGAAAAATACAAATTACCAATTTCAACAGCTATAGGTTAACCCAATAACTTTCAGTTTCAACTTAGTATGTGCTATATCGTTAATTTCTGATCGATGTTTTAAATTTTGTCAATAAAATTGTCGTGAAATGATAAACATTATCCTATTTATTTATACACTTTGACAGTGTTTTGTTTTACATTTATATTCTATTTTTAAAATGATAATAGTCTCGAGCCATATTTGTATGTTTAGAACTTCAGATATATGTTTTNTTTAAAATGATAATAGTCTCGAGCCATATTTGTATGTTTATAACTTCAGATATATGTTTATATGTGGTATGACTGTAGAGATTAA